GGGGGCTCCCGCCACTGCACGCTGCCGGTCTGGGAGCTGCTTTTCTGGTGGCTTCTCTGGCAGCTCTCACCACCAGACTGGGAGGGCATGGGAGCAAACATGCCCCTGGATCTGCATGGGGCACGCTGGGCTGGAGTGTGCTAGCTCCTAGGTCACAGCCGGTCTTATAATCAATTTTCTTACTCAGCATGTCCGCCCAATCTCACCTGCCATGACTTGGTGTAAAAAGAAAGAAAATAAGAGGGAGGCTTGCTCTTCTTAATGGCTATTGACCTTTGGCCATTTTGGATTTTTTTAACATGCTCAGCTTTGGTTTCTTGCTTGACTCAGACCCGAGGCTACTGGCTGTCTATCTCTGGGTTTGTTTTTTTTCTGGCTTATTATATTATTCTTATAATTAACTTTGGCTGGCTGCTAGACCATGGGTTCGTAGTTTCTTTCAGGTACCCCTGTCCTGCACCACAGCCACTCATGATTAGTTGTCTTGTTTCACACACTGAAGCTTCACATGCTGAAGGAACTGGCATTCTACTGGATCCCACAGATCCCTTCTTCTTGTTTCCCAGTCTCAGTAAATATGGAGACTCCTCCAAGCCTCAAAAGGAGAGAGCTTCCTACCCTCATCCTTTTACCCTTCTTGGGGCATTGTCTCTGTTTTTCTTTCTTCAAAAGACTTCCTTCAGAGTTCCCTCTATGTCTCACTCACTCTCCTCCTCCTTTCTCCTTCCAGTTGTTGCTGGGTGCAGCTTTTGACTGTTCTCTGTCCCATGCCCAGCCAACTGGAACTGACAGGAACTCATGAAAGTGGGTGTTTTTAATCTTCACACATCCTGATTTCTGTTTACTGGTTTGTCATGCAGTAAGTGTTTGTACTCAGAGCACCCACTCCGGCACTCCTTGTTCTTCTCCCAGGTTCCTGTAATCTCCTCCAAGCGGGCAGTGCAATCTTCACTGCCACAGGATACTTCCAATTCAATCTGGACCATTTAATGGGTCTTCTGATTCAATTTGGATTCAGACATTTGGCCACCAAATCGAGCTGAATCTCCTCTTAATCAAATTGGCTACTGAAGCTTCACACAGCCCTAGTGGCAATATAGGTGGTGTCACTAGCAAAGCTTTGGCTTCTTTGAACATGGGGTAGTGTTCCAAGAAGATGGGCTCTTGGGAAGAGATGGGACCCCCCCGGTGAAGAGAGGGAAGGGTGTCTTCATGTACAGTTCTGCTGAGGAAGGCTTTAAACTAGGTTCATTGGGGATGAGGACAAAAGCCCAGAGGTAACTAAAGAGCCTGGGGACTTGGATAAAAATTTAGTAAAGGGAAACAATAATGGAAGCCTTCCCAATGTTCTCAGAATAGAAGAGTCAGTCAGATACCTGAAATGTTTATATACTGTGAGAGATTAGCCACACCCACAAAATAAAATCACAATCTCTTGTTTTTATGGACTAGGTAATCTCCTTTACTTCTCACCTGTCACAACTTTGATGGGGAAAAAAAGGTACGAAGATAAACAGTCCTGAGCGATGAGGTTGGTATCATGTCTGCAGTTCAGAAGACTGACTCCTCTTCACAGGGCTCAACCATCCCCATCCCCTGCCCTTACTGCACCTGATGTTGCAGCTTCATATTTATTATGTCTCTCGTAGAGAGTTAACTCTCTTGAAGTACTTTGCTCCATCTCTCACTCAGAACACTCTCAGTCCTGGTTGTTTTCCCCATTCTTCCCTGCATAGGTCCCAAGCAGACCGTCGCTCCATTCAACCCTGTCCTTATCTAGCAATATCTGAATATGAGGGGTCACCTCTCCTAACTCACCTCCCCACTCAGTTTTGTCTCTTTCTTTTTCTAGGTTCCCTGAAATTGTTGACTTGACATGCACCAGATCAATGCTCAGGATCTCAATATCACACTGTTAGGCAAAAGGGCATGACACAATATTATACACACACAAACTACATATACAATACTAGGGGCTCACACACATACACACACACAAACATGCACTTCCGTGGCCATGTGTTGACACTAGAGGGTGCTCGGGGTAACTTGGTGCCCCAGGGTTATTCAGGGTCATGGTGCCAGGGTTACTGAGGGTCATGGTGCCCCAGGGTTACTCATGGTCATGGTGCCCCAGGGTTACTCAGGGTCACTGGGGCTCCAAGTGGAGGGAACCAGGAGTTCAAGAGAAAGATCGGGGGAGCAGTGGCAAAAGCCAGGGAGAGCCAGTTGGGAGATCAGGAAGTCAGAGAAGCAGAGGTGCAGAGCTGAGAGAGAAAGCCAGAAGATCGAGGGAGCTGAGATGACAGGAAGAGAGAGAGAGAGCTGAAGGTTAGAGGGATGGAAAGCAGAGATTAGAGCAGGGCTAGGAGATCAGTAAGACCAAAAACCCAACTCGGGGTTCCTAAATAACAGTTTTATTAAACAGGCAACAAACTATACAGCCCCGCAAAGTTATTGGTTCACATACACACACACAGACACTCTCTCACACACCCCCACACAATGGTAGCAGAAGAGGAAAGGCTTAATGGAGGGATTTGAGGTCCAGCTGTGCAGAAACAGAGTTCAGGTCCCTTGCTTGGGGGAAGAAGGTGGGTGATAGGTATCTATCCAGGCTGTGAGTTGATCCTCGATGGCCAGTTGAAGTCTTCTCCAGCAAGGTGTTGTCCAGAGGGGGTCACTGGCAGGGCCTCTGGTTGGATAGGTGGTGTGGCATAGTGCTGGTCCAGATGGAGAGGACGTCAAAAGGATGTCACACTCTACCACTCCTTTTATAGGGGTGGGCTACCTATGTCTCCTGTGGGAAAGACATGCCCAGGCAAGGGCCAATACTACTCAGATGCATATGTGCAGATCCAGGTGTTCTCATTGTCTGGTGGGTTACAATGGTGGGGCTGCTGGTTTCTGTAGGGTCTTTGTCTTCCAAATATTGGGTTCCTGTAGGTTCTTTATCTTTTAAGTGTTGATTTTCATCTCTGTTCCTGGGTGAGGTCTGTGCTTCCTGGGTGAGCAAATGCAAGTCAATGGTCGGGTCATTGAGTTGATAGTCCAGTCATTACTGGTCATTCTGTATAGACCTGCTACCATTATGCCACAAGCACCCTTCATTCACTTGCATTCACCATTCATCTAGGAACCAATTTACAGGAGATTGGTTAGACATGAGTCACAGTTGCAGCACACTATACAGTACAGCATGCCTCGGCAGGGGACACAAAATAGAGACCTGACATTATTTTGGTTAACTTTACAGGCACAGGCCTAAACCATACAATATTAATATGAAACAATAAAAATCAATGCAAAAATTATAGGAATACAATTTAATACAATATAAAATAGTAAAAATCAGTAAAAACATAACAGAACACCATTTACAATATAAAAATGGGCTTATTACAATAATAGCATACAAGAACTTAGCTTACCTATGACTACTTATAATTACTTATAAGGGATAGAGAGGGCAGAGAGAAAGTCAGAAGTGGTTGGAGAAGGGGAGGGAATGTATTTTTAAGTTTAAAAAAAAAAAGAAAAACCTGGGGGTTTTGCTACAGAATGTACCCAATGTCCACTGGAGTCAGACTCACTGACCCAGCTGTCTCCGCTGTCTCCTCTCTCTGGCTTCTCAGATAAGTCTGTCTTTGGGACTCTTCTTCCAGCCTCCTCTCTTGGCCGTATGCTGTCACCCTCCCATGTTCCGGTGGATCTTCTTCTAGGCATTTTTTCTTCTTTTTTTGGGAACCAACTACACATCTGGTTCCCCTTTAATACTCCCCAGCTATCTACTGCATCCCTCCACATCAGCCACTTTCTCACTGCTTTCTCCACACCTGCAGCTCTTTGTTTTTGTTTTCATTTGGGCCTCTCTCTCTCTGCCATCTGGGTGTCTCCCTCCTCTCTGCCCATCTCTAGGTTCATCACACCAGTCTTCTTCTCCGAGGCTCATTGCCGAGGTAAGTTCCTTTTTTCCCTTCACTTCCCCGGAGCTCCATGACAGGGCAAGCTTGCTGCCCTGTCACATACACTAATGCAAGAAGTAAAGGGAACAAACAGGAAGAACTGGAGGTCCTAGTATAATATGACTAAGATTACAGAGACATGGTGGGTAGTTCACATGACTGGTCATGGATAGGCAGAGAAAAAAAGGTATTGCCCTATACATGAATGAAATGTACAGGTGTTTGGAGGTGCACTACAAAGTGAAATGCAGGCCTACTGAAAGCCTCTGGGTAAAGATCAGAGGGGAGAGCAGCAGGGGGGATATCATGGCAGGTGTCTGCTACAAGTCTCCAAACCAAGGGAAAGAGGTGGATGAGGCCATTTTTAAACTACTGACAGAAACTTCCAAATTGCAGGACCTAGTTCTCATGGAGAACTTCAGTTGTCAGGAAATCTGATGGGAGGGAAATACAGCAGTGTGCAAGCAGTCCAGCAAATTCATGGAGTGTGGTGGGGATAACTTTTTGATACAGATGGTAGAGAGGCCACCTAAAGGGAAAGCTCTTCTTGACTTACTGTTCACAAACAGGGAGGAACTGGTTGAGACTGTGAAGGTAAAAGGCAACTTGGGTGACAGTGATCATGAAATGATAGAACTGAAGATCCTAAGGGGAGGAAGGAAGGAGAGCAGCGGAATAAGGACACTGAGCTTCAGAAAAGCAGACTTTAACAAACTAATGGATCTGGTGGGTAGGATTCCCTGGGAGGCAAGTTTGATGGGGAAAAGGAACTGGCTTTGCTTTAATCAGGCTGTTTTAAGAGCACAGGAGCAACCAATCCTGATGCAATGGAGGAATGGGAAGTACAACAGGAGACCAGCCTGGCTAGACAGCAATTTCTGCCATGAGTTGAAACTCAAAAAGTGAATCCTATGAAAAGCGGTGACTCGGTCTTAGTACTAAGAGTGAATATGACAGTATCATATGGGCATGCAGAAAGAAAATTAAGAAGGCTAAGGCACAATTTGAGATGCAGCTGGCACAAAAATAAATAAAGGGCAACAGTATCCTGGGTTTGTATTAGCAGGAATGTCACTTGCAATTCAGGAAAGTGATTCTTTAGCTCTGTTCAAGCACTGGTGGGGGCCTCACCTGGAGTAATGTGCCCAGTTTTGGACACCATGCTTCAAGAAGGATGTGGACAGTTTGGAAAGAGTCCAGCACAGGGCAACAAAAATGATCAGGATCCTGGGAGGTAAAACTTACAAAGAAAGGTGAAAGAACTAGGGGTTCTGAGTCTGTAAAAGAGAAGACTAAGGGGGGATTGTCTTCAAATACTGGAAGAGCAGTTACATAGAGGGTAGAGATGGATTTTCTTCATGACCGTAGGGGACATGACTAGGAACAATGGTCCCAAGCTTCAGCAGGTGAAATTTAGGTTGGAGGTTAGGAGGAACTTTCTTAGTATGAGGACAGTCGAGCATTGGAATAGGCTACCTAGAGAAACTGTGGAACCTCCATCCTTGGAAATTTTCAAGAACAGGTTAGACACACACCTGGCAAAGATGGTTTAGTTGGGGATGATCCTGGCTTGGGCAGGGGGCCTCATGAGGTCCCTTTCAGTCTTACTTTCCTATAATCCTATAATCTCTGCTCCTACTTGTCTAGTGATCATAACTTTATACCTTGAATAATGTGTAGTTTGGAGTTTTTAATAACAAGCCATAAAAGAATTATTTTCAGACTCATGTATGATGTGGGATAACCTTTTAAACATTCTTTATTCATTCCATGATGAATATAAAACCAAACAAAAATCAATTCTTGGAGTGTTTTGGATTAATGTGAAGTGAAGTGCTGCAAGAAATAAAAAAAAGAAGGGGGGAAAGTCAATAAAAAGATATTTTGAGAGAGGCTAATACCCCCACAGGAGTCAAGGATATCTAATGTAGTTTACTTAAGGTCAAGCAAGGCTTCTTTTTATCCTATAAACCTTTTTCAACAAAAGGTCTAAACTTGACAAAAACCCATTCAAGTCTCCTCAGAGAGTTCATGCTGAGCAAATAGCTTATTTGAGGAGCTCTGTTCTCTTCTACTACTTTTTTTTGCTCCTGTGGGAAACATTTAGTAGGACTCATTGTCTCTGCCAGCTCGTACAGATATTATGAGAGAAATTTTAGCTACTGGCCACTTGCCACTGCATGAGTCTTTCACTAAGATAGCTCCAGCCTCCAGTAAAGATAATTTACTGGAAATGAAATGGTAAACCTTATTCAGAAGTATCAAACTGACTGCATAACTAGGATAGCAAAAGGCCTTCGTGTTATTTTTATCTTTTTAATTATGCAAAGCTATTCATTATGTAAGTTTTATTACTATTATATATATTATATGTAGCTGGTCTTTAAAAAAAAAGACAACTGGTAATGTCCCAGATTCCCAAATGCTTAGTTCCTCTCAGGAACCAAGTCCAGTTCTCTATCCTTTGCTGCTATGTAACACAAATTAGATATCCTTATTTAAAAATAAAAGCACATCTTTCCAGCTAGGGATGAGAAGCAGTAAAGTGACCTTCTGCGGAATGTAACCCAATGATTTCCATTCATAGATAGTTCTGGACACTATCCTGTTTTGGACAGGATGCTGGAACAACCCCTCTAGACTGATATGTTTCCCTTCCCAGTTTTTAATTGTACCCTGTTTTTCCCTGTCTTTTTCCTTTTTATTACCACCATTATTATTTATTTGCATTCCATCAACCATTTGCTCATCACTTTACAGACAAAGCTGAAGACAAAGGCACAGCCCTGGAGAGTTTACTTTCAAAACAGAATTTATAATCAAATCCAGCTGCAGGAATTGGGCCTTAGAAATGAGTAAGTTCACAGACACAAGTAATGCTGTTGACTTCTATGGGAAATAATTACATGTAAAATGGTTGGATTGGTGCATATTTCTGGGCATTGATATAGACCAACCCTAAAGAGTAAGGCTTATCCCAGATGGTGGAAAGCACCACCATTTCAGGGGAGGAAGAAAGTAATCTAAAAGCACAGTTTAGCCTGTAATGTTTTTTTTCCTGTTTGTTTCAAGAATTTAGTGTCCAATTGTTTAATTTTCTTTCCACTAAATTCAAATTTCTTTGAGATTTTGCAACCACTGTGTAATAATGTATTACTTTTTGGTAGTAATTTATGCATATTTTCCACTGAAATTTTCAGTCTTGTATTTGAATATTTCATTCGTTTTGTGACCTAATGTTATGCTACCAAGATGAGGGCAGGCATACCCAATGGTAAGAGCTGAAGTTTGGAACTAGAGTCACGCAGGTGGAAGAGAAGCCAGGATCAAGATAGCAGAAGCCAGGAACAGAATATATCATGGAAAAACAGCTAGCACACTCAAGTGAGCATGTTCAACAGCCCACCAACTCTTCCCCCGAGTAGGATTAAGAAGGTTCCTGCTGCCCTTCTCAACCAAGCAGGAAGTATGTGGGTATGGTTAACCTGATGCACTTTAGCTGGCAATCAACCCAGGTGGAGTTGTTTGTTATGACTCTTGACAGAGCTCTCCTTTCTACAGGATCATCTCTTAGGCAAGCCACATCATTTTTTGGGTGGGCTCAGTGGAATGGCTATATCAGGTCAGGGTCATTAACATAATGTATGAATTCCTGTGATTGGTCCTCTGGACCAGGAATGCTCAGCCCCCAGCCCACAGACCAGGTCCATCCTGTGGAGCCATGTTATCCAGCCCATGGGGCTCCCCACAAGTCCAGAAAATTGGTCAGTGAGGAATTAGTGGCAGCTTCTCCTGTTTCCAAATTTCCAGACCCCACTGACTAAATAGTGTGTCCCTGCACACTATATCAGGTACACTGGGCCAGGTAGAAGAGGCATGAGGCCCAATCCCAGTGCTCTGCGCCAGATAGAGGTGGTGTGGGGCCAGTTGGAGCATGGCAGGGCCTGCAGAAGCAGCATGGGGCCCAGGCCAGGTATATAGGGACAGGGGAGGCAGCACAGGGCCCAATCCATCCTGCCGGTGGGGCCAAAAGGTAGACTGCTCTAGACCATATCTTCTCAGTCAACCTGATAATAGAATCTGCTTCCAAACCTACTTTGAATCCAGTGCTTTGTGTTCTTCATAACTCTGAAGGCAGGCCAGGTTGGCAGAAAAGGGTGGTTTGTAAAAAGGGTTCCAGCATGGGCCTCAAGGAAGGACAGATGGAACACATGATGCAGGTTAAACTTCACTGATTTTATGTATTTGGTGGTCTCAGCAGAGCTAAGGTACTGGTAATCTACTTTGGTGGACAGCCTTGTTAGTCCAGTGTTCTTAGAAAAGGTCCCAACTTTGTTCTCAGTAGAGAAAAGTGGCATG